CGGGCGCATTGTCATACCTACCAGAGACAAAAAACGTTTTTTTGCACACACTTTTTGATGAACCCAAGATTTGATGTCGCGATTTAACTATTCGCAAACTTGAGTAACAGTTTAACAACCAATTGTCGCAAATATTAAGTGTATCTAAAAGTATATTTTGTAAACTATAACACCTAACATGAGTTATCCTACTAGTTTAGTAGTTGCTCACGACTTTGTCTGCGCAATATAAAAAAAAAACTAGTGATATTTATAGCCTATGTCACCCAGAAATAATGTAGCTTTCCAACAGTGAAATAATTTTACAAATCCATTCAGATAAGTTGTAAGTATATTTAAAAAGGCGAGAGAGTCATATCTAGAGGTTTTCGGGGTTGTGAGTGGCAGCTGCCAATCTGCGAGTGGCTTCGTTAGCGGCGAGACAGGAGCTCTCCACCTCGGGGAGACAAGCGCTGTGAACTCTGATGAGCGTCTCAAGTTCGGTACAGCTGTGAGCATCTCTGCCACCCGCTACACCTCTTCTATTTAATTCCTCTAGTTAACTTTAACCACGTCGCTTTACTGATACTTTACCGACTGTTTATATTTAATTTCTTAATAGGAAAATGTAAGTAATTATAATAATGTTTGGTGTAAAAAGATTTCTTTGTACCTTTCTAAACTTGTACCTTTTATCTAATCGCAATATTATTTTTATGCAAACATTAACTTCGTTTTATCATCCGCATATTTAAATAAATTAAATTCCATATACTAGGTCATTTTTTAATTTAATTTAGTCGAACGGCGGGATCCACCACGACCGTCAGATCGTTAATTCGCACTCTTAATCATTAGGCAATTGACGCTATAATGATTTTATTAATCAGCACTTAATTACCTATTAAAAACCATTGCCCAGCGAATGCCCAATCTCTGCAAAGAGCCAATAAGAGAAAAATGTAGGTGCAGATTAATTGGGAGCTGGGTGGCCGGGCCGCCGGGTATACCCGGACAGTCGGGTCGCGGGGAGGTCGCCGGCGCTTCATTACGCCCGGGCCGGGTAAATTGACTTCGTTAGTGCCGGCAAGCATCCAGCACCCGGCTCCACTCTTTGCGAATGAGTGACGTCAATTACACGCCAATGCTATGTACCTTGCCTCATTATAATATCACTTTTGATTATATTAAAGCTTATTATTTGACTTTAGATTAAGGAACCTCGACGATAGTCGAGCAGTATACTGATTATAAACAATATATATAAATGTAATATAATCTTTAAACAAATACAATAACATTAATGTAACTACCTAATAAAACCTCTCAGCGTAATTCAATGACGCAAATCAATAACAGTCCTCTTATTAATTTGTAACAAATTACAATGCAGGGGCATTCGAACAAAATGGCGTCGAACCAACGACCATAAACAATACATTTCAAAGACCATAGAGCTCAAAATCCAACGACAAACATAGAGGTCGTAAAATGTCATCGACAATGCAATACACATAAGTGACAATTGGACACAAAAGAATTACATACATAACGGCTGGGTGTAAAATAACATTTTAAATGAATCTGTGAGCAGGGGCGCCATAATAGCTGCTACAAGCTGCCAGCGTGACGCACCCTACATGGGGAAGAAATCTAAATGCTGGCTCATTGACACGCGAAGGTAGTGGACGTAGAAGAAATAATTATTTGATACCTTCTTTTAAAGAGCTAAAATTACGCATGCACGTCTAAGTATCGTTGCTTTTTGAAGGAATCAAAAAAATAAATCTAATAATTAGGCAGGACAAATTATGTTAGCAATCAACACTTTACAGATATCCAGTTTTAGGTCGTCTCTAATCAGTACACCGGTAACCTTCTCAAATGATGCGAATAAAATAATTGAAACATTCATAAATAAACATCAAATCGAATCAATCACACTTTTAACTAACCAGACTTCATTTGTATGACGATGCATAATGTCATTCTCGTGTCCGCAAAACTCGATAGCAAATGCCAGAAGCAGCGAGCACTCAAACGAAGTTATACAGTCAAGTAGGTAACGAGTGGCCCTCGCCGCCTCGCCACCGTCTCGTCACCGCCTCGCCACCGCCTCGCTGTCGCATCGCCCTCGCTACCCACGGTCGCCGGTCGCCAAGCTCACGTCGTCCGTAACGTGGTTACCGCCGGCGCATGCTAATGCCACGCTAAAAAAAACATAACAAATCTCTGTGGTCCGGCCCAGTCCGCCAACATTTACGTCTCTAAACCGAATTTCCATTTTCCTCGCTTTTTTCCCGCGCTATAGGTGCACATTCATTTATGCAATCGGACTTTTAAAGAGAACAGAAAGAATGTCGAATTTCACGAATTATAAAATTTCGGATAACTGGGATTTTATCAAAATCAGAAGGCATTATGTACTATAAAAAATTGCAGTAAGCAGATCAAATAAATAGGAGCAGATTTGTGGACAAAGCATAGCTCGGTGTTGTATCAGCCACGATCCCTGCAAGATGACACCTCGTACCTGGCGGTGCGCCGCAGCGCAGCCCGGGCCCGCCGCGCCGGTGTCGGGTTCGATCCGTTTATTTGATTAGTGAACGCTTTCAAACTTAATTCAGTTTCATTATAAAAGAGTTTTTGTGCGCGCGTGAAGATACCAGATTGTGGTTACAGTATCCTATATCACGTCTTTGCAATATAATAATATACTTTAACAATTCGTTCGTAGATTCGGGCGATTTGTTATACTTACAACTTTTTATTAAAAAAAAAAACAGTTTTATTTAAATCGGTCGATACTCGAACGAAAATGACAGAGAACGGTTGAAGGTGTTTTTGTCAATTTACTTGTGGTTTGTTTAAAACCTTTCTTTAGACATTATATCACAACATCAAATATGAACAAAACAACCTCGATTTAGGATAGGCTCCGAGCCGCTCGGTGGGGACGTATAGTGAGCTGATGATGATGATGATGAACAAAACAACGTATATAATATTGAAGAAAGTCCATCACCTACCTACGACGAGACTTCGTAATAAATGCATATACATACATATATTATATAAAAATTAAAAACAAATCTATAAAACATTTTATGTATAAGGTCCCATGTGAAGGGAGTAGTATTCAATGAGAGAGGTTACATAGCACGGTGGCGCAACACGGCGGGTGCTACTCCTGTCACGTAATTATTAATCATTTCGCGTCTGATCCGCGGGGCGTGCCCGAACACCCTCCATCACCCCCAACACCCGACTCTACTGCTCAATAAAGAACTACGTTATCGAAACATTCTAGCATTACATTGCCGGGGTAACATGCAGTGTTAAAATGTATTAAAATAACTTTTGAAATGTTTGATATGTGCTATAGTTATCTAGTTGCGAATTGTTTGAACTGTGTAACTTTAACATGCTAAAAATCTCTTGCATTCAATACCTAGGTAGATATAGTACCTATATCACACACAACATACAAATGCAGCAATGTACACTATCCAATGAGAGAGTGTCGAAACTGTAACGGGATATGTCGTAGTCGTGTCGTGCCGTCATTTGCATGACAATCGCAGCTCGGTGCCGACTTCAGTCCCCCGCGCCGCAGCGGATACCTACGCCGCGGCGGGGATCTGCAGATATCCTCACCGCCGCACTTACAGCGACGTAAAACTAATATTTTATATTAATATTTTTACTACTCGTTGAAAAAAATACAAAAAATGTGTTCCGCCACGTAAGCAAAAAAAAAACATTGATAGATAGGAAACTAGCACAAGCTCAGAAAATGCTTGCGTGTAGGAAAGGTAAAACTTGTAAAAAAATCTGGTCAACATCTTGTTTGACTCTGAGACAAAGGAGACATCTTCTCTTACTTTCTGATATAAAAAACAAAAACTAGTTTATGGTCAATTTACATTTTTAGAAAGTAAAAAATAAAATTTTATAACTTTCCGCTGTAAATCGCACCACACGAAGCAGCTGACATATTTCCGTTGCCGAAATCCCCACAAGGGCTCTTTCAGAGTATCTTCAGCTCCCTTATGTATCGCGATACATAATATTAGTTGGCAAAGCGGAATCCGCTCACAGTGTCACTGGTGACGAGCACGGGGCCGGGGGCGGGGGCGGGGGGACCGGGGGAGGAGGAACGAACGTGCCTCCACACCACATCCCTAGCTGTCAAATTCCCCGCCTATTTGTTACAGGCAAGGGCTTTGTCGAATGAATGTCTCATTAAAAAAAAGACAAGCATGTACTTCACCCGCGCACTGATTACAACAGCAGAGTCAATTGCTTCGAATGGTGTATTGCTTCACTTATTTGTTTATTTTCCTAAAATCTCGTTAAAGAGGAAAGTGCACATTAAGAGACTAGAACATTTTTTTGTATTTCTATATATTTAAAAATATTTCTAATATGGCATTGTATATGCAAAAGTTAAAGTTCCTCCATTAATTTCATACTTCATGTTGCGTCTGGACGTGCAATGCCTTCACAGTCAAGGGTTTATTTATAAATAAATTAAGGTCGTATCGACACAGAAGGCACTTCAGACGAGATTGTGTAATGACAAACGAAGAAAAGCGCAGTCATGTGAGCTAACGATGGGATAACGAGTGGACTTGACCAAGAGCAATGTTTAAAACTGCTTAAGCCTTCACTGCCGTCCTATGCAACGCCTACGATAATGTAAAGGCAAACTTTTTTTATTGCGAATGAATATTGCTGATCATAATGACGAAGTGTTTTATTTATTACAGGTAAAATATACTATACGTCGTATTTCTTTAACCGAATAAAACATGTTTAATGTGTCGAAATTCGTTTTAATTGTTTAAAGTTTTTAATTACACTGTTATAAACATGTATTCATGAAATGTATATGATATAACTATGATGTTCCACTATAACTAAAATAAAATTTAATTAGTTTTGATGCAACAATGTAAATTATTTATTTTTTCTCTTTCCCAAATTTTTAAACAAACAAGTTGCGATGAAATTTAAATTCTGATTTTAGTGTAAACCCGAACGCATCCTAGATAACAAAATAGTTGTGACATTGACAACTTGACAACATGATTGTTGCATTCATTTTGTATCCGTTTACTTCAAACTAGTGAGATAAACTTTTTGATAAGAATGCGTCGAACTCAATAACATCACGTATATCGATCACCTTGCGACCTAGCGCAATCTCATAAATAAAATAATTAAGTAGTTATTATGGGTGCGAAAAACCAAAACGTTTTAGAACCAGTGTCGGGAACGACCGCAGTGAAATTGTTCTTGAAATGTATATTCATAGGACTATGGCAATTGGTGCAATTTGCAGTGCGAAGGTTATGGAAAGGGCACCGCAGAAAATTTTCAAAGAATTTTCCACCGGTCGAACTCACCGTAGACTCTTCAATAGGAATACATTGTTATATTAAAATTATGGTAAGTCTTTATTTTATAATTAAAATATTTAAAATAAAGTCAAATAGTGCTATAACATTGCAAAGTTCAAAAGTAATGATAAGAGAACACTATGCATTATTTTACATATTTTTGAATTATTTAAAAGTTAATTTTATTTTAGGGAGTAAAGTATCATTATGTAGAAACTGGTCCAAAGAATGGCCAAGTAGTGCTGATACTCGGGGATGCGCCAGATGCTGGTGACCTGTGGGTGCCATCATGGGCAGCGGTAGTGAGGCGGCTGGCAGAGACCCAGCACCATGTAGTCACACTGGATCTGCGAGGAACGGGGGGCAGTGAGTGCGGCAACAGGAGGGACCTTTCCCCCCCGAGGGCCGTGGAGGAGCTGTCAGCTCTGTTGAAAGCTCTGGGAGTGTCTGCCAACAATCCAGCTATAGTGATAGGCTTTGGTATCGGGGGTATGTTAACATGGTAAGTGATTATTTTTTTATTGATAAGATTTTTGCCTTTCCTAGAGCAGATATTACTATTATTGCTAGTATTATAAATATGGTATTTTTTATCTATTGCTCTTTAATATACTTTTGAATTAAGTGTATCACAATTGTACTAAAAACTTACTTTGAAAACCAATTACTCTTATACTTTGTACAAAGAAAGTAATGCTTGAAATTATTTTTAATATAATATTGTGGGTAGTTTGGATTAAACCACTATATACATTCAGATATTCAATAGTCATCACACAATGCTGTTTAAGTAACATAATGTAAGAAAGATTTGATCACACTCCACAAAAGCACTACAATTGCATATCTTAATGCAAACTTTATAGACTAGCTTATTTTGCTAACTGTACACAAGTCTCTGAATACATTGCAAGTAATAGATTACTATTTCTGACTGCACTGTACACTGGCTGTCAAGTTATAACCCCTGCAGGGTGAATTGTAAGCAAATGAAAACAGATAATCATAATCTTTGAGCTAGGACCAGCATCTATCTTGTGACACGACGCATTCCCGCGTAATTATCTGTCACGATCGTACTCGGCGCAGACACACGTCATAATGTCTCGCCTCTGTCTGTCACAGATTAAGTTCATGCGTAATTATTCATTTTTGTGTGTAATTCATATTTGATAACCATTATGAACTACTTAGAAAAAATGAATCAAGCAAGATAAATCGGATTTACGTACTTTCTTGGTTAGGCATATAAGGAAAAGCAGACGATAAAAAAAAATCGTCAATTTTATCGTGAATTTTAATAAAATATCATCAATTTTATTACTATTATTGTTTTTTAATTGTTTATTCTTAACAAAAGTAGAATTAAAAGATATAAAATTTTGTCCCACACACGACTATGATAAGTGTTGGGGCGCACAGTATCGCACGCACTGTAATCCCTCTCCGATAATACATTTGGTCACGCATTATTTTTAAAACAAAGAAAAAAACAATCGTTATGAAATTGTTAAGAATGTGTTTTAGGATGAGCGAGTAGAAATGGCAGCAGGAAGAATTTTACCCAATAAATATTGCGGATACGTTGATTGTGTGAAAATGACAGACGTGATGAGTGCGAAAGAGATGACTGCAAGGATGATTAACAGGAAAAAATGTAAATATGCCTCGCATAGAGTAACAGAATGATTATGAAATAGTATGCGCGAGCGTATGTATGCGTGTGATATGTATATGTACCTGCTCATTTCTTAGGATTACTTATTGATACAAAGCATCTGCACTCGATACGTTCTATGAATATGAAAGTCATCATTCAACAAATACGATTCTAATAGAAAAGGCTGTAAAATTGTATCAATATAGTTTCTTCCGCGTACTTAATATAGATAGATCATAGATATGTGTTATCGTTTACGGAAATGTTGAAGAAGTTAATTAGACCAAAGTCGATTTCGTTGAACTAAACTTATATTGTACTCAAATGCTGGGAAAACGAAAACGTCTCGAACGTTTTCGTTTTATTTTTACTTATATGCAGCTCGAATCGAATAGTCATATTAAATACATCAAAATTTGAAAAGGTGAAAACTTCACTGTCAGTAGATTTGTCTAGTCGGGTAGAGGAGGTCTCCTTGATCCTCAGAGCTGATGAATGAGTGGTGTGCCAGGTACCTGGCGCATTGCCGCGGCGCGCTGGTGCGGCGCTTCGTGGTGGCGGGCGCGCCGCACCCCAACCTGTACTGGCAGCACCCGCCCGCGCCCTTCTGCCATCAAGCGCTTTACTTTATACAGGTACTACTAACATTCTAGAATGTTGCGGCTGTAGGTTAATTAAACGTTGTTTCCAGTTATACTAATACGTATGTGTGCAGTGGCCCCACTTCCCGGAGCGGTGGCTGGCGGAGCGCGCGCTGGCTGAGAGCGCGGAGGGCGCGGCGAGCGTGCTGCGCGCGCGGGACTGGACCGGCGCCCTCAACTATGTTAGAGGTATGTGTTGCAGGGGAGAATTCATTGTATTTAGAAATCTAGAGAAAAAAGAAGTAAGTACACTGTTGTGTGTGTGTGTGTGTGTGTGTGCAGGCGGGGCGTGGTGGCGCATCGTGGCGGGTCACCGGGCGGAGGCGCCGGCGCTGCTGGTGGGGGCGCGGGCGGCGGCGGCGCAGCTGGTGGCCAGCGCGCAGCACTGCGCCCGCCCCGCGCTGCGCCTGCTGCCCGCGCCGCACCCCGCGGACCCGGACCTGCCCGCGCTGCTGCTGGACTTCCTCGCAGTGCAGAAAGGTAACTTTTATGTTCAATTTCACAATGTCTAATATTGTGTTGTCTAATGTTTAAATGGAACCCAACTGAACAACGAATGAAACCTTTTGAATATATTTCTTCATAAAAAATGCATTGTAAATGTATTCGTGTGTGTGGTTGTCGCAGTGGAGGAGGGTGCGGGTGTGGGTGTGGGCGCGGGAAGGCGCGGGCTGGTGGGGCGCGTGCTGGGCGCGGTGGCGGGACGAGGGCGCGACCTGACAGCGCGACTCTCGCTGCCCGCACTCTCCGCGCAGGCTTGACGCGGCATCAGACACACACACACACACGCACAGAGATGTTCTCATCAGAACAAAAATCTTCCGCAGTATCCGCATTTAGAATTAACTTGAGTTTTTGCGGAGTTCTATTTGATAAAATTTTAATGTCGATTATTTTTTATAATTTTATTAGTTATTATATAAAATTAAATTCATTTATTTAGATTCAAATATTTAAGTTAATTTTAAGATAAAATATTGTTTTCGAAATAATCGATATAGTAAACGAAAGTTCCTTCGTAGTTATTTAAGTCGATTGTTAAAAGTCTGATGAATTTTTATTTTAGCGACGGCCAAAGATGGTGAAGGTCTAGCGGATGTTTTTATCGAGATTTATAATTTTATATTGTTTATATTTTGTTTGATTGCGATTGAAATAAAGATAATATTGTAATGTGCGATGCAGTTTTATTACGCAATATGCTCACAAAAAGCTAACTCTTCATAAATTCTTCACTTACAATACAATATGTATAATATTCACAAAGTTGACGCGTCGACAGACTACGACCGCCGCATCATCTTATCTTACACATGTTCTAAAATTGTCTATATACAAAAAGTCTGTATTTTTATATTTATACAATAAAATGTAATAATTATACGATATTATAATTATATCTTCTACTTTGAATCGAGTTTAAAATGATCATAACTATACATAATAATATTTACAATAAGTTCACACGAACACGTCACAAACTATTTAAGCCCTAAACATCTAATAGGCACACTTTTCAATACTGATGTCCTTAAAAATGCATTAAAAAAAAACAAAAAAAAACTTCATTTAAACATAATGTTCATGTTTTGTCAAAGATAATGAGGTGAAGATATGTTTTATACAGACATTTTGGTCTCAGAAACCAACCTTAAATGGCAATTAGTGTGAATCAAAATGACTAATACGGTGTTGTTTTGTTTTCTGACAATTTTGTTAGCGACAGTACAAAGATTCGGACGTCACCTCACCTCACCTCGGTCTATTACTATCAAATTTATTTAAAATCCCATATAATTATTAATTAATTACAATATAAAACTGTCAGAGTGTAGACAAAAGGCGGGAAGAATTTATTTATGATTTAGTATCGAAGACAATTATCTGGAAGAAGGAAGGAAGAAATCGATGGATGAAGTTAATTTTGGCACGTTTTATAAAAATTCCTTAGAAATTATCCACAAAGCCAAAGCTAACATATAAAATAGTTATAAAATTTTATTTGTCAATAGTTTTTTTTTAAATTTAGACGGATTTTTATTATTTATTTGTATATCAAGTACATTTAAAAAAAAATTACTTAGGGCAAGTCTGTGCGTTTATGGTTTTATTAAAAACTAAATCATAGATTAAAAAATAAATGAGGTTTTAGTCTTTTCTTTTCTGATAATAGATCTTAAATATATAATTATTAACGTGTACAAAGTGTTAATGTAAAGTTAGACGACGTTATATCTGAATACTGACACATTTTCTACAAATGTAAACTTAGAAATAAATAACTTTACAGATAAATTACAATATTCTACAGTATACATACAAAATCAGACTACATCTGACATTTGACCGCGACATTTGTCACAGATGTTTACGTGTTTCGTTGTGTATTTCATTGCCCTTACCTGCAAAATATCATTTCCCAATGACAATGGACCACAAACTTTTTTTTACAAATTAAAATAAACATTTATATATATATTGATAGCCAAAATATTAAACATAATATTTTTTTCATCAACTTGAGGGATTTATGTGTAAAATCCCACACGACTAAGTATTATACATAAATAGTTGTTTCGTGTTAATGTTATAGTTGAAGAGAATTTATTCAGTCTAAGTTTATATTAAACAATAACAAGGTGTTGTAACGTTTCTTCGTTAGGTCTGTACAACAAAAATTTACAAAAAATCTAAATAGGTAACCGACAATTTATCATTAAATTAGTTAAAGTGAAAAGGAGAGTGTTACCTGTTATCTAGACGGTGGTCTCCCCGCTGCGCGCGCTGTGTGGGCGGGGCGAGCGCGCGGTGTGGGCGGGGCGTGCGGCGAGGTGGGCGGGGCGGTCGCGGCTGGTGATGCGCGTGTACAGCTCGTCCAGGTCGCTGGCTGAGTGGGCCGAGTGGGCGGAGTGTGCGGAGTGGGGGCGGCCGACCTCGGGACAGCTGAGGGCGGGTGCGGGTGCGGGGGCGGGGGTGCGCCAGGCGGGGCAGTAGTTGACGTACTGGGAGTCGTGCGCCACGTCCTCCGCGCTGAAGCTGATCTCGTGCGGACACATGGCGGATGGCGAGGGCGCGTACAGGCCGTGGCTGCGGATGCTCACCTCGGAGACCTGGTAGTTGGGGCAGTAGATGTCGCTGTCGTTTTCGAAGCCCTGCTCGCTGGCGGTGGTGCTTCCCGTTTCCGAGTCGTACGTCGTCTTGGCTAGGAAGAAGGACTCCTTATCGTCGTCGGCGCGCTGCAGCAGGGCGTCGGCCTCTCCGGCGGGCGCGGGGTCGATGTCGGGGTGGGGGTCGCGAGGCGCGTCGTCGCTGTGCATGGTGCACTCCTCGGAGATGTCCTGCAGCGACTTGTGGAGGGCGGGTGCGGAGGCGGGTGCGGGGACGGAGGCGGGGAGGTCGGGACGGGAGGGCTGCAGGTAGTCGATGTACTGGCCGAAGCTCTCGGTGTCGGTGATCTCGTTGGCGGAGCAGGGTGCGCTGGGTGCGCTGGGGGCGCTGGGCGTGTCGCGGCAGGAGGTGATCTCGGAGTGGGTGTCGAGGGTGTGGTCGGAGGCGGTGTGGGGCGCGGCGAGCTCGGAGGCGGAGCTGTACTCGAGGCTGCACTGCTGGGACACGGTGCGCATCTCTGCGGGCTCGGGGTGGTCGGCTGGCGCCGCGTGCCGCCGCAGGCACTCCTCGGATGCGCTGCTGCGAGGACCGTTCAGGGTCTTGGGCGCGTTCGCCTTCATCACTTGATGCTGAGGCACCTGGGTCTCGGGCACGTTGGTGTAAATGTTCATTATCTGCGACTTGCCCATCTTGAGGTCGTGGCTCTTGGCCCAGGGCTTCCTGTCGGCCGCGTAGCTCTTGAAGTTGTCGCGCGGCTCCTCCTCCAGCAGGTTGGGGTTGGCGGCGTTTCGCGGCTCCTTTATCCCGGTGCCGGTGCGTTCCACGTGGAGGTTGGTGTTGTTGACTTTGGTGCCGGCGTTGATGATGTTAGCGACGCCGTCGTACGCCCCCCTGTTGGGGAGCGGCAGAGAGACGTGGGAGTCGTCGTCGCACTCCCTGCGCACGGGCAGCTCGAGGCAGTTCCTCTTCATGTGCTGGCGTTGCTTTTTAAAGAATTTCTTGGCGACGTTCATCTGGTTGGGGTTGTAGAAGAGGTCGGGTGCGACGCCGCCGGGCTCCGGGTAGGTCATCATGGAGTTGTTGGACCTGTACTGCTGGCGGTGCAGCACCACCAGGTTGATGTTGGGCGCCTTGCCGTTCGTGTTCTTTATCAAATCCTTCTGCAGCGTCTGTCCGTTGAGATCTGCGCCCGCCTTGTAGGTGCCGCTGTTGTTGGTCTTAGAGTTGGTTCTGTTGGAGCTCCTGCTGTCGGAGCGCGATCTGTTGTCGTTGGGGAGTGGGGCGGTGGCGGGCGCGGTGGGCTGCAAGGCGGGGGGCCGGTTGGCATCGAACACGCTACGATTTCTGCAGCACTGCTTGCTCTTTTGGAAGTAGCAGTGCATGAGGGCCCACTGCGCGCGGACGTCGCTGCGGGCGATGCCGTAGAAGAAGAGGATGAAGGTGCCGAGCACGGTGGCGCAGACGGCGTACACGATGCTGCAGATGTCCTCCTGGTAGGGCAGGTAGGCGGGCAGCGGGCGGTAGACGGCGACGGCGCCGCACGTCCACACCGCCAAGTAGAGGCAGAGCACGATCACTTGCGCGCGCAGCTGGATGATGGGCGTGTGCTCGACGTCCTCCAGCTCGGAGTCGAGCGCGGACTTGGTGCTGCGCCTCTCCGCGCCCTCCGCGCCCGCGCTCGGCTCCAACATCTCCAGGTCCAAGTTTTCCGTCGCCTGCGTGCCCTCCGACAGCTGGACGTTCATGTTCCTGATGGTGCACCTGATGAGCAGGAAGAGAACGAGCAGGAAGAGGAGTAGGATGCCGCCGGGGATGAAGAGAGAGGTGAGGGCGGGCGCGGTGCTGAGGAAGCACTGGGAGTAGCCCGCGTAGTCCTTGAGGTTGACGGCGCCGGAAATGCCGCAGACGATGAGCGCGATGCCCCAGCCCACCAGGTAGAGGCCCAGGATGGGCTTGCGCACCGGCGCGTCGGGCGGCAGCTCGTCCTCGGGCGAGCGCACGGGGCCGTGCGTCCTGGTGGCCCACTTGTACATGTTGGAGGCGGAGACGCACATCCAGAGCAGGCAGCACAGCGACAGGTAGTGAATGAGCAGGCCCAGCACCTGGCACAGCTTCACGTCCTCCGTCTGGTAGATGCCGAGCGTGTAGAGGAAGCAGAGCAGGCCGAGGGCGGCCCAGGTGTTGACGAGGGCGTGCTTGGCCTTGCGCGGCATGAGGATGGCGGGGTAGCACATGGCGTAGGTGAGCGCGGCGCAGCCCAGGCAGCCGATGAGGATGAGGCTGCCCACGTAGACGGCGGGGTGCGACACCTTGAAGCGCGCTCCGTCCGTGCGCGCGCCGTAGATGCCCGTCTCCACGTTCTGCAGCAGCCCCACGTACGCCAGGCGCGTGCAGCTTATTATAATCATCTCCGACACCACGTGCGACACTTTGCAATCTGCAATATTTACATTTATATCATACACAATAAACATATGATACAGAGTAAACAAAGGTACTGGTGTTGGAGCAATGTCGCGTCGGGTACCGGTGGAGTTGTCTGCCCAGCGGCGCTGTGCGGGGTCCCACACCGCGGCGCGTCCCTCCACCCCGCCGCCCGCACGCGCCCGCACCGTCGCTATCACCGGCTCCAGCAGCTCGCCCTGCACCTGCCGCTCACCTGCAACACCACATCGCACACCATTACTTACACTTTCCTCCTACAATTTAATAATGTTGTCTAAGAAATGAGCACATACTGAGCTGGAAGCCGACAACGGGTGAGGTAATCTCCATGTTCATGTCCTCGCGCTTGGTGCTCCTGCCGTAGTAGTCCTTGGAGCGGTGTCCGCGGGGCGGGCCGTCGGCGTCCAGCTCGGGCAGCAGCGGCAACAGCGCCGCGTCCTCGTACAGCGCCACCACCAGGTCCTGCGCCGCGCCCGCAACCAGCCCGCCGGACGACAAGCTGCCGTACAGCAGCGACTGGGGGATCTGAAAGTTAACAAAACTAATAGCTGCTATCCCAACTTTGACAGGGTTGTGGTCTGTATGTGAGATGTATGTACCTGTACGCTGGCGTGTATGAGCGCGTCGCTGACGGTGAGCAGAGGCGCCACGGTGCGGTTGGTGGTGGAGCAGTGCAGGCGCGGCGGGGGCTGCGGGGCTGCGGCCGCGCTGTACCACACGCACGTCACCCCGCTGAAGCCCTCGCGCACCGCGAACCTCTCCACCGCCAACTTTACCTGAACATCATATCTACTATATCAATAACATTGCTTTTTTAATGTTACCTTATGAAAGGCTGACGATACATTCACAGCTCTTGATAACTTTCAACCTCAACCACCTAATAAGTTCTAGTTAGTACAATCTAGGGTGTTTAAAATATAATTATGGTGTTGGGGGAATGGATAGTATACATACATAATTTTGAAGTAAAAATGTTGTACCTTGTGGCCTTGTACATTGTTGGTGTAGGCTGATATCTCTTCCACGGCTCGCAGCATGTCTGTGCACGCGCCGTACAGAGTCTCCGCTTTGGTCATCACTGATGGTGTTATGTTCATCGCTGAGCTAATAACATCTAAGAGTGATGCACCTGAAATTATCAAATATACAAGATAGTTAGCAAACTAAATACATTTGTTAAGTACAATAGAAATTATAAAAAACTCACCTAAATCCCGCTCCTCAATCATGTACTGCATATAATTGCGAATCGCTTGAGCTATGAACATAACATCATCCGGATCATTTATTTCTGCCAATGGATAAGTTTTCTCCTGTATCAACATCGCCAGCCTCTCCGTAGCATTCAGCGCTGAATACTGAACCAAGCTGACGTTTAGTAACGCAAACTGTTGCAGCAATTTTGTCACATTACTTATGTACGCACATTCCGTTGTATTCACTGGACCCCAGGTGGCATTCGCGAAACAATGTCTGTATGCTGAACCCTCACCACTACGGCATGGTACAACCGCAGTATGATTTAACAGAAGCTGGGGCCAAGAGTACAGCCCTTTGTTTGTTACTGTATGGTTTGTTTCACAATACTGTGTCCTGTTAGACAACACTAGCACTTGAACGGTATGATTGTGATGAATTCTATTCTGATCATTATACAAACACGTCCAGTTACCCGTGTGATGGTTTGTTATGTTAGGGAAGAACACCGTTGTCTCAGCTATACCCTCTTCTTGCATGTCTGTATTAGTAACATTAACATCACAGATCTCCAGCATAGGATGTATCCATTTCAGTTCATATTTAGCTAACACTGAAGCAAATGGTGCATTACATGTTAACATCAATGTGTCTCCTTCAAACACCACTTGATCGTGAACTGGTTTAACTATTAAAGTACTGGAAGGTAGCACGCTGCCACATGCAGATAGATCTAAAAAAATCTTCAGTTTCCGAACAGTTTTATTGACCATGTTTTCAGGTGATCTGCATTTAGGGTTGCCGACAAGTTTTACACTGGTGTTTCTAGACCAATCACCCACCCATAATAAATCACAGTCACAAATAAGGGGATTTTCAGTTAAGTCTCTGTAAAAGAAAACATAAATAATATGAAAACTTTGTTTTATAAAAACAAAGAAAACAAGATAATAAAACTAAACTTACATCTGCTTTAATCCTACAAGATAATCAAATGTACCAGAAGACAATGTTGATATGAGATTCTGAGTCAGAATAAGCCTCTCCAAGTTGACAAGGCCTTTGAACATTTCTTTGTAGATATTGCTTATCTGATTGTAGGACAAGTCCAGCCGCTGCAGAGACGTCATGTTGTAGAAAGCATCAGACTCTACAAGATTTATTTGATTTCTACTGAGATCCCTGAAAATAAACAAAATTCATACATTATTCATTTTTTCAATGGACTTTTGCAAGATTTTTATGATAAATACAATAGAATCAAGACCTTTTTAAATAATTATTTAGAAAAATTAAGCTTTAGAAGTATTGTATATTAAATTGGAAAAAAATTAGAAAAAACTAGATAAGTTTTCATTTATTTGTTCTAATTTTTTTAAGCAGACAGAAATATTTAAGAACCATCATAACAAATAACTTACAATTTTTGCAGATTTGGTAAGTGCAGCTCCCTTGACAAAGTTGATATAGCATTCCCTGATAAATTCCTAAAGTAAAAAGACAAAAAATCATATAAAGAAGTTATTTCATTTCATAAATTGTACATTTCATGAAATATCTTCTTTTACTATAACTGAAACTGATATTGTGTAAAGCCAAAAATGTTCTAATTGTTTATTTAAAAAAAAACATATTTGAATGTTATTAGCAGACATCGTAATTGATGTCAACAAAATTATTTTCATCGTTAGCATAACTTATCCGCCTTAGAAACGAATCATAAAAGCTCGTCTCGTTTAACTTTAACCTAATAAACTTTTTAACCTAATACTTACAAACTGACAACAAGGTTCCATAATTTGCTGAGATCTATTTCCTTGAGCTCGGTAATTTGAGCAGGACTCCCGCCACATTTTAATTTTAAGGGTTCTTCTGGTTGAAGATCGGATGTTGATCCGTCTAGTGATTTGTTCCCCTTACAGGTGCATAGCGACGGACAGTAACCTAGCGCCCCCTCGAAAAACAGGAGCACTATCACAACCAAATATTGCTGCATCTTGCTGGCTTCCCATAAAACTGTTTAAAACTATGGCACTAAGCCAAAAACGAATAACAATCACATTTTCAAAGCTTCGTAAAAATTAAACTTTCTTCAATGACATGACTCGCGCATATTGCCCCGAAAACAACAGGGCAATAAATAACAATCAAGACATCAAACTAAAAGAGAGTCTCATTTATCTTGGCAATATATAATTTTGTGAAAATCAAAAAATAAACAAGCCAGATATTGTACACAAGCACCGATCCGACATTTGTAAAAATGACTGAACTGACACATTGAATGATTAATGCCTGAAATTGATTGAAAAATGAGCAATAGTGCCATAGAGTATTTACCTAAATCGGCATAAAAATCGAATCGAGCAAAAGCTCTTAACAACCGATTAACCGGACAAATATTAGTGCGACTAACTTACCTGGCCCGGTGAGAGAGGCGCTACTGTTGCGTTAGATATACTAGAAATATTTAAATGACGGCGTTAGTGGTTATCGTATGTGACCCGTGTGTAGCGACCCTTAGACTCAATTAATTCTAGGACATAATTGGACGATGATTCCGTTGCAAATGGGATAGTGAAATAAAAGCCAGGCATACAAAATAGATACGTAATATAATTAGAATGCAATAAAAGACAATATCTACGACGACACGAGATTTGAAGACAAGTTGATGCTCAAAATTAGTCAAATTTTAACAATGTTGATATTTTTTTATTAAGAATAATATCGAATTATCACATATATAATATTTACAGTGTAACAATAAATATTTATGTAAAACAAGAATAACTTCAGGTCAGATATATTTTCGTATTTATCGTCAAGTTTATTTGTATTATGAGCAAGTCCTGTGCTTTGAAGTTTACAAGATAAAATTTAATAAATATATTTGAATAAGGTGTTGCATAAATGAATTAAAGCTTGCGGCGCGCTCTAGGTCTATGGTAGGAGGGTCGGGGCACTCGCAGTCGCTCCCCGCTGTCGCCGCACGGACCCGACTCGTCCTCCAGCGGCTCCGCGCGCGGCGTGAACAATTTCCTTCTGCTGCGAGTCACACTAAATACAAAAATAAACGTCAAAAAAAATACACAATAAACCACACGCAAACACTGATCTTACTAACCCTTAAACAAATAGACTTGCACACACAAAAAAACCCAAACCAGTCGCATTTCAATACAACAATTCAAGCGTATTTGTTGCTGAAACATTAATGTAAATGATATGATACTTTGTTGTTACAAGGTGATGGCCCAAAGTTGTCCTCTTTCTTATTTAGCTCCTCTTTTCTACTTGAAGGCTGGTAACACCTGCAACTTTGCTATTTATGTTTATGGACAACAATGGACATTGCATAATTAAAATAAGAATGTTAATATTCACCTCTTGGAGGGGCAACTCTGTATGCCGAGGGGGGGCAGGTTCTCCTCCCCCTTGGGTTCTGGAGATGCGGGGCGCGCCGGGGGCTCCGGTGCCGGCTTGCCGAGCGTCACATCGGAGAACTGCACCTGCAGGTTGATGATGTCTTTCAGCTTGTCACCCTCCTCCAGCTCCGCAGCCTCGTCCATCTGCTTCTTGTGGCGTCGCAGCCTCAAATTGCGTTTCGCTCTCGCGACTATTTCATTAGTTTTATCAGAATCGTCGCCATTTCTAGATGTTAGTTTCTTCCTCAGGTTGTATTTAACTTCGGTCGCTTCCTGCGTTCCTTCCTGTGTAATACTCGTGGCTTCTTCTTTGTTATCTTCTTTATTGCATGAGCTTTCTTCCTGCGCCACCAATAGATCAAAGTCAGTAGCTCTCGGTTGAGAAATATCTTTATATATGTTTTCGAATGCTTCCAATGTGTTATCCACTTTAGTTTCTTTCTCAATGAGAGCCGAGTCGCTCGGTTTGGTGGCTATAGAAATGTCTTCCATTAACGGTTTGTTAATATCGGATTCCTCCGGTTCCGGATTGGATTTTACGTCACATTCATTATTTTTAGACAAATTAATATCACTGAAAGATTTCCCTATATTTTCAACAGCTTTTCGCGGCGACTCCAAGTCATCGAATGGATCGACGGAATCGTGTTTTTTCTTAAAATTTTTATTCTTCAAAGTTGACACCGAATCTAGTTGTCGAGTAAAACTTTCTCCCAAAAGCTTTTTTATTGTACTAGGTTCAAAGTTAGACACGCAATCATCTTTAACTATTGACGGAGACCTTAATTCGTCATTTTTTAATTGATGCATATTTTTAATGTGCGATAATTTGTCATATTTTTCAGTTTGTACATTTAAATCGTCAGCTAAATCTTTCTTTTCATCATTAGATTCCTCACAGTTTAAGTCCTCGGGCTTTTCGGGTATTGTTACGTCAAAAAAGTTTTTCTTCTCCTTGAATATGTTAATATTCGAAAGAACGTCAAAAGTTTTTCGTTTAGGATCTGAGCTCAAATCATTTGCTTCCATTTCCAACTGTTCAAACTGGGCTAAAGAATTATTGGAGCTGTATTCTCCAGAGTTTGATTTTAATTTTTTAAATATTTTATTCATCAAGCTTTTCGTTGGATCTGGTACATCTGATGTTTCTTTTCCATTATTTATTTCGATTTGACTTTCTGTTTCGATTTCCTTCTCCACATTGTTTATGATTTCTTTCTCGGTGTTCAGTGATTTATTTAAATTACTATCATCAACTGAATTCTCCAAACTATCAGACTTTGTCAGAGGTACAATTTTATTTATATTCTCTCCTTCTAACATATCGTTCATTTCTTCATAAGTCTTTATCTCATCTTTGCTGTCTTCATCATTCTTATTGTTCATTGTAAAGTTGTAAGATTTGTTCGAATTTAAATTTTCTTCCAATTTTTCTAGATTATCACACATCGGCGAAGTCAAGTCGGCGTTTTCTTTCTCTTCATTTAAGTCGGCTTCTTTGTCAATTTCTGTCTCACTGTCATCTTTGTCAATTTCCTGCTCTTGTTCGGAAGATTCATCAGATTTACTGTCATCTTGTGATTTCCTAACAAAATAAGTTTCACGTACACGTTGATTGTATTTGTCTTCGACAGTTTTGCTGCTGCTGAGTACTATCTCAGGCTCTTTAACGAAATATGTTCCTCTGTCTATACATCCAAACGATTCTACATTTTCTTCAGAGATTTTTTCAATGTCTTGAGACTTGTTCTTCACTTCCTCGTCGTTTTCAATATCTTCTACATCTTCCCTACAGATACCTTCGTCAACCTCACTGGCGCGTGCGTCGCCTGAAACTTCGACGCTTTCATTCAGTATGTTGCTGAAAGACGCTAGACTCTGTCTCAACAATCTAGATCTTTCCTTTCTTATGACGGGCTCGAGGCTTTCGTTGCACGGATCCTCTTCGCTGTCGTCCTCACTTTCAGTCAGAGATATAACTTCTTCGTACTTATTCTGTGCGCCGCTGGCAACTTTTTCTAAACAATAATATAAATTATTAGTTTTTTTTTGTCACAATTCAACTATAACTGACCTGACTGAGACCTGAGATGTGCTTTTGTTTGCCTTTTTTAGTAATGTATTGTGATGCAATATGTACCTTCCATCTCTTCAATGTATGCTCTCAACTTGCAGACCTCCTGCTCGGCGCCCTCGCGCGCAGACACCTCAGCAGCCAGCTTGCCCTACGTCACAATGTTTCTTCATTTAGAAATGTTCATTATAAGAAACGCAACCTTTTCAGCAAAGTATCGACACATTGTGAAAGTGACACAATTTCTAAATAACTTATAAAGCATTACAAATTTTTTTTATTAGCATGCAAAGTAAATTGGACGTACCTCAAGATTATCGATCTCTCTCATCAAATCGGATACCTGAAAAAGAAATGTTTTAAAAATAACTTATTATACCATTAAACTGAAATGAGTATAAAGATATTAGTCACATAACAAACCTCGTTTTTGAGTAATCGCGTCGGTGAACCGTCTGCAGGGGCCGGTTGTAAGCTAAGCTTGCTTATTTTATCTTCATATTCTTGTTTCATTTCCTCCATCTGAAGAAATACCAATAAATTAAAACACAATGTTGAAAATTCAAATCATTAGCAGATTTTGATGACAGTTTTGTTTATTCATGTATGGTACAAGAGCTGCGGTTGTCCAGGGTGTGCAGTCTTATGTGCAATGTGGAGTAGTGGTGGTGGACCTCCTGTCTCATGGAGCGCATGATGGTCTCGTAGTGCTGGCGCATGATGTGCTGCCCCTCGCTGAACACCGCCTTCATGTTGCTGGCGTTCTGCGCCTGCTGCTCCTCCATAGACATCGCCAACTCCTTGCTGTACTCCTGGGCCCTGCACACACACGCGCACATCTTATTTCGTATAAAGTGTACATAACAGCATTATATTATGTCTAACATGTTCACATAACGTATATGTATATGTAGTTTGTTACTTACTGCAAGAGTTCAAAGTGCAGCCTCTCGTTCTCGGCTCGCAGACGCTGCACCTCCGCGCTGGAGGCTGACGAGGTCTGCGACAGCATCGTGTCCTGCGAGCTCGCCTCCAGCGCGGAGTACTCCGAGGCCGTGTTGTTCACCTCTGTAAAGAACATCGTTTCAACAAAATATCAAGTTTATTGGAGTTATTGATTGAATTGGGAGCACACAAATTAGAATTTAGGGGTATTTCTCGGTTTAATTGCAAAGGCAATTGTAAGAACAAAGTATAATAGTGTATTGTGAAGCATAGTATAATGTTGTTGTCGGCGGTACATACGTATGTCCCTGGCGACGGCGGCGAGCTGCAGCACGTGGCGCGTCTCCAGCGCGCACTCTGCCGCCGGGTTGACGGTGACCACCACACTGACCGCCTCGCCGCGCGCCCCCGACAGACCCGCGCCCAGCAGACGCGTCAGCTTCGACTCCCTGGACGCACCCGCACATCACACATCACACATCAGTACACAACACACCGGGGATGATACAAGGGAGGGCAGTGCCGCACCCACCGGTAGGGGACGAGGGCGTCGGTGCGCGCGCGCTGTCGCTGGCGCAGCGTGCGCAGACAGCGCTCCAGCACGTGCAGCGAGGTGTTGATGGCGCGCGACTCCGCCAGCCGCGCGCCCGCGTTGCGCGTGCGTCGTGCGCGCTCACACCCCGCCAGGTCGCACAGCCGCACGCTGGACACGCGGCATCCGGCCTCTGCTCGCGCACATATCTCACTCAACATATATTTCCGCTTAACGCTCCTAAATCATACCTCTTATTCTATTTTTTTACCAACAAATAGTAACAAAATATTGAAAATTGATCACCATTGTGATTCTTAAATCAATTAAATCACAAATTTTAGATATATAGTTGGGGGCACCATATGAGTAGGGGAGGGTGCGGTACCAGTCTCTGTGAGCATGGTGATGGTGAATATGCAGTGCGAGCGTGAGGAGCGCGCGTTGACGCCGGTGGCGGCCACCTGCAGGTTGTGCTTGCCCGCCACCATCACGTCGTACGCCTCCTCGCCCGTCTTCACGAACACCTGCGTCGCGCCCTGACCACATATAAACCGAAATACAATACTTCAACTTATATAAATATGTACACTTTTTATAATATATATACTTGTATGTGGTAAAAATTTACCTTTACATATACATTTCCATTGGAATCTTCACGAATAACAAGTTTAGAGGCGGAACTTCGATCATTGGTGGACAGCAAGTCATAGATCCCCTCATTGTAGATCTCCACAAAAGATACCTGGAATTAACACTAAATTACAAACTGCTTCTTCATTTTCATTTTTTTTAAATAAAATGAAAATATTCCTCAATTAAATTTACTTCAAAGAGAGCATCATACTACATTGGGTTCCAAAAAAATAATGATATTAACAAGAGATTGACTGACATTTCTGCATAAATGTAAGACATATGAGATAACATACCCAGACATAATACTTAATCCTATTGGCCAAGTCGAGAGTGCTGGCTGCAAAGTCACTGTGCAGCTTGGTGCTCATGCGACGGTACCTCTCTCGCAGTGGCACCGACACCTGACGCAGCTGTTTCACAAACTGGAAAATATTTTTATATAGAGCTTTAACAGAAATTTTACTTTAGGTAATTCTTTTTCAATTTGTTTTTTATAATATTCTGTAAGGACTTATCATTTTTATGTTATTGATCTTATAAGAATAAGGATAATTTAGGTCTCAGTAAAATAAATATATTTTAATAACCTGTAGCTCATGCTCCTGTGATGCATAGCTAAGTTTTTCAGCTCCATTATCAGCGGGTTTATACACAGGTCTGACGGCTGCATCCACAACTCTGAACACATACTCCAGAGACCGCGGCACCAGCCCTGGCGAGCTCACTGTCCCCATGAGTGTGAATGTCTTGCCTGAACCGGATGCTCCATAAGTCAGCAATGTAAAGCTATGCCCCTCTGGTAACTTTTTTAAATTATCTTTAACAACTCTCTCAAACAATTCCTGAAATGTTATTTTTTTTCGTTAAAAGTAATAATATTAGATAATATTAGTGTATGTGAGTTTGCTTTTAAAATTTCAATATCACTTGATAAAATGTACTATATTAATTTTAAAACTGGCTTTATGAAATTCTCACCGTTTGATTGGCCTCAGGTCCGAAAATATGTGAAAATGTGTACATCTTAGACACATTGTACTGAGTGCGTCGACCATGGCCCACTGTAGATGTATCCAGAGATGTTATCAAGCAGTGATCTGACTTCACTTCATACAAATTGCTGGGAGCATTGCATGGTTTTAACCTTAAGTATACTTGAACTAGCTCAGGCTCATCGGATTCGGAATCGGTCTCAAACAAGTCCAGTAAGTTTGTCCCTTTCTGGGGTTTAGGTCGCATGAATGGATTAGATATTAGAGGCGGTCTCGGCTCAATAAACGAGGGTACGTCTCGTTTGCAATTGGAGACATCACTATCGGAAATACGTTGGTTTATCATTTTGCCACTGCTATATAAGTTTGAAATATGTAAATTATCAAACAAAACGGTTTGACTTCTTTTTTTATGACATTCTGGAAATCCTGAATTTTGCCAATGTCAAAATATATAAAAATCTTGAAAAGTAACCGGTGATTCAGTCAATGATTTACTAAAAATTTACATGAAGAATCATCATGAACACCAAAAACTTGCAAGCCTGATATTTGATGTTACACAAAACACGCAATTACATTACACAAATTGTACCGTAAATCAAGCACCAAACAATAAACATTTTCACGTAAATGAATTGAGTTATGGGCACTGCATGCAAGTTTATTTTTATCGAATTTGAATTATAAACTTAAAACTCATTTCCTAATTCCTGTAATTCGCAAACGGTCGAGCGCTTTTTAAATTTTGAACTTCAAAATCATTGCCACCGTTGAAAAATGAAACCATACACCTGCAGATTATACAATTATTGCAATGTCGTGTCTCCATAGATAATAAATGGTACACCTTACACAAAATCATTATTTATTTAACAAAAATTACCATCCATACTTCATTATCACCACATTGATAAATTATTTGAATTATGCGAAGATAATATGATATAATCTATGTAATATTCAACTTCTTTTTCAAGTTCTTTGCGAAAATGCAAAAAATACACGTCCCACGGCACAGTATTACTGTGTACGAATTAAGATTTATAGGAAACTTTAATTCTCAATAAATTGCACACAAAACCTATGGCGAATAGGTGCATAATATTATGGACAAACTAGCTGTCGCCCGCGAGAAAATGAAACAAAAAAATTAGTAGCCTGTGTTCTTAATGTGATAAAGTGTAGCTTAACCTACCTATAAAGAACTGAACATTGATTTACAGTGAACAAATTTAATGAAAAAATAAAACACTAGAGTAGATTTTCATAGTTTATTTAAACTTAAGCCACCAATGCAGAGGCAGTGCTTGACTCATATTTCCAGTTAGGAGGAAGCACACTCTTTGTTTTGTAGTAGCGGGCCAGCCTGTGGATTCTGGATTCAACAAGAATAAGTCTGAATTTGCTGTCCTTATCTTTCCTGTTTCTTTCCAAGTGCTTCCTCATAGCCACTGCCTTCTTGATCAGATAGTATAAATCTTCCGGTAGGTCGGGAGCAAGACCCATGGCTTTCATGATACGGAGGATCTTTTTGCCAGTTACGAATCTGACTTGGGCAACTCCATGTGAATCCCTGAGCATGACACCTAGAATTAAAGAGATAAGATGTAAAGCAAAAGAATGAAACATTTTGTTTAAAAAGAACTCTTTGAATTAAGAATTTATTTATGCATTTTATACCATGGGTTTCTAAGACCAAAAAGCTTGTTTGAAACATATCTCCATTTTGTCAATCATGACAAGGATGACTGTGTTTTAAGCAGAGATTTTGGTCTCAGAGACCAACGGTTTATTTGGTATTTATTTGAGATCACCAAGAAGTGTGTCAAAGTTATGTATCCTGGTGGGAGAAACACTATTATTCGAGTTAGTTGGGTTTGAAAATACATAAATGTAAATCTATTTATATAGAATATATAACACAAGAAACTACAGTCTAGTAAGTACTCTGAGGCACATTAACAGGACAGCCTATGTACTATTGTACTTTAGTTTCATTAAAACTTGAGCATGTAGTAAAATATGCAGACATTGCTGTGGAAACAGCATTCTTTGTAAGGTTTTGTCATAATGTCCTTCACTTTAATCTATATATATATTGGTCACATATATAGAAATATTTGTCATAGCAAATATATTTTTTTTTCGATTTGTTTAAATATTAGTTTCTATTGTATGATATCTAGTGCAGTATTAAGATTATAAACATTATAAAAATAATAATTTCATAAAATATATCCGATTGTAACAGTTATGCTTTTTAGAACTAAATAATATGATAGCTACATAAAGTCTGTATCTGGTCTAAAGTATCATTAACTTCTATTATTATATTATTGGTTTTACATTAAGAAATTAAAATTTTCTTGGAAACCATGTAGGTTTTATACGTACCGATTTGAGAGGGAGTAAGACCCTTTTTGCCAAGTTTGAATATCTGTTCCTTTACATCATCCGCGGTCAGTTTTAACCAAGTGGGTACACTACGACGGTACGGCAGTGCCGACTGGGAAATACCCTTACTGAAACACACAAAATCACAATTTCAAAGACGCCATGTGGTGAATAAGACATTTCTAGGTTATACTTGCACACAATGAGGGTTTTATAAATGTGGAATAAGTTGTGCATAATATAAAAAAGGGTTTCACAAATTAAATTGTAAATAAATTACCCAGGTGCGTGCATACGACCCATGGTTACGGCTTTAGAGAAATTTCGCCGATCTGACAACGACAACAAGAGAAACCAAAAAGATGGTGGCCGGAAGAAGCACAATCCTTCAAAACCAGTGATGTCCTAATCGTTCAAAAACGTTATGCCAAACTTTTATCGGTTTATGTTTATCGTTCTTTTTAAAAAATATTTTTAATTTTAACATCAACTCAAATAGTACGCAAATATTTGAATCGATTACTTTCTTTCTATTTAACATCAGCTCTCTAAAAAAATTGAATCATAAATCCAAGATATGATTTTAAATACAATAGGCTTTACGCTGACTGCGGATAGTTTAAAATATCCTACTAGGTTAGAAACTAAAACCTTTTTACGAAGGAACAAGATATTCCAACTTGCACAATCAATACTTTGAGTTAACATCAATGCTGCCGAACTTCCCATGAACCTTTGACATGCTCTTTGAACCACCCACCTTACCACTGTGCACTAAACGTCAAAACATACTCGCACTTGTAAATATTTTAAAAGTTATTTTTGCAAAAATGGCCGAGAAGTACGGTATATCTGAGGAAGAGTATAAGCTAATTCAACAGCAAGCTTCTAGACGGGCCGAGTTGAGAAGAGAGTTTTTAAAACAAAGAACTAATCCTTGGAAACATGCAGCTGAAGCAGGCTATGTCGTGAGTTTAGAATTACGTAATTTTTAATCAAACTATTTAACTAGCTATTAAATTATATTAATGGTTTGTTTTAGTTTGATCCAGCACTACAAAAGTTTTTGTCAATGAAAGCGACTTCTTTTGAGCAGTTCAAACCAAATAGAACAAACAGTTTATTCGCAATCTGCGCTATAGCGCCAATGTTTGTGTATGGCTACTTTATCTGGAACGAGCGTAACAACCGGGAGCAGCAGATCAGGAGTGGTGAACTCCGATACAAGGACAGAATGTTTAAGCTTGCTTAAACAGTTAGAATATTAAATACAATTATTATTAGTAAAATGTTGAGTATTGTGCTATTTATTTTTTTTCCTTAATTTTAATGCTGGCCTCTCATACAATGTTTTGATGTGTCATGTAGAAAAATAAAAGTGTCATTTTAATTGATATTGTTTGCAATTTAAATCGAAAAATAAATAATTACAATGACTGATCAACTGATTTCTGAAACTGAGTGTAAAATAATAAAAGCCCAAATCGAAAGAAGAGCAAAATATAGGAAAGAGTTCTTAAGACTGCGGACTGACCCTTGTAAGCATAGTATGGAAGCAGGACATGTTGTAAGTACAAGAGATTTCCAATCTATTTGACTAGACAAGACTCTGCATTATTTTCTAAGGCATATCTAATTTTAACACATTTTCAGTTTGACCCAGCTCTTCAAAAATGGTTATCCATGAAGGCATGTCAATTTGAGTATTTCAAAGCAAATACAAAAACAATCCAGTTTGGGGTGATAGCTATTTTACCAATGTTCATTTATGGATATTTTATACATAGACAAAGAAGTCAGTTTGAAAGAGATTGTCGTTGTGGAAATCTAAAGCCACGGGATAGAATTTTTAAATTACATTAAATTTTCAATGTAGAAAACTACAACACTACCTCTTAGCAACATCATGTAAATGAATGTTTTAACATTATAACTCTTATGCAGTAGTTTTTGTTTGATGAACTTCCATCTAATGACAAATAAAATAATACAACAAGGTAATCTTTTTATTTTGCAGAGAATATAACACTAGATGCACTTAAAATTAATAGTTTATCGGTCATCCAGAGATTTGTCCCTGGCTATTACAGAATCATCAAACTTAACCATGTATGTTGTACCTTTGTGCCAGTGCGCTGTCACCTTAGCAGGCTGAAACAAAAAAAATGATAAAATTACACCATTTTTGGTAGTAGATGTCACCTTTATGAAGTTAAGCCATGTGTGAAAATTCTCTAAAAGCTCTAATTCATAATTATACTATAAAATTCCCTCAGGAATTTGTAATGAAAGAAAATATTTTTGGTTCTATATAAACATTAATAATAAATAAATAAAATTTACTAACAAAACCACTTTTAGTAAGGACAGCTTCTATGATACCAGCATTGAATGTGGCACAGTTGAGAGAACCTTTGTCTTTAGGCACACTTATAAATTTGTTAACCTGTGAAACAATAATGATTTAGTATAAAATCTACTTTACACACTTTCTAGTGGATGTTTTTAACTTACTAGTGCATCTTTCTCAATAATGTAGTATGTTCTTTCATCATCATTGGCATGTTCAAGTTTGTCAGCTTCTTTGCCAAATAATACCTGAAAAAAAAAACAAATCTTAAGGTACACAAAAGATAGTTTGAATACATCACACTTGAAATTGGAACAGTTGATACTCAAATATGGTGATGGAAACCAAAAATTATGAATGAAACATTTAATTACGTTTTTGATATATTTATAAGCTTGCTTATACTACCTTCCACAATGTAGACTTGACAAAAAGAAGCATATTTAACAACTTTATTTCCCGCTTGCTGTTCCGCTCTCTCACAAAGTACAGGTCTAACAAACGAGTTCCTACATCTTGGCCAATTTCTGATAATCTGAAAATTCAAGCATGATGAACAATATAAGAAAATGCCAAGTATCGTATATTCTAGTTTTTATATCTGGATAGATAAATTACAAAATATTTTATGAAATCAATGTAAGACTTACTTGGTCTGGAGTTCGTGAATTGAATGCGAACGGTTTTGACAATATTGTACAATTTCTGAAAATAAAAGGGCGTATAGAGCTAACGATATTTCTCCTTTCCCTTTACTTAAAGGTTTGTCTATGAAAGATGTTTTAGATCGACTAGACGACATAATTATGTTTTTGTTCAGTAAGGACTGTTTCTCTTAAAATTCAATAATTAAATTAGTAAATAAGAAGAGAAAATTTTCGTTACATCAAAATCGTTCAATATTTTTTGACTTTGACACTTCTTTTATTTGACAGTGTCATGACACACATCTGACAAGGCAAAGAGTATGTAAAATTCTGGTGTCACAATTTTCGTTGCCATACTCCTCCAAAACGGCTTGACCGATTCTCATGATATTTTGTGAGCATATTGAGTAGGTCTGAGAATCGGCCAACATCTATTTTTAATCCCGCGCGGACGGAGTCGCGGGCGACAGCTAGTTTTGTATAAATTTAAAAGAGTGTCTTCGGTGACGCAATAAGTTCTTGCCGTACCGAAATCCATAAGTTCAAGTTCGATCTCCGTCATGTACCAAAGTCATTTTCGATTTTCATGCGTACATCCGATGTTCTTACTATGAAACAAAATAACGTGGTGTGCGACCTCCACATATTGCCGAAAAAATTAAGCATCAACCAACCCGCACTGGGCCATCGTAGTCACTTTGGTTGACTCGGAGCCCCTCGGTAGGGACATTTATGACCTGATAGCGACGATGAATTCAAATTCTTGTTTCTTCCAATGAATTAGCTTTATATACTCTTTGTAGCCAGTGTGTAAAAAAATGTTGCAGCAACGGGTACAGCACTTTATTACAATAGTTGTGAACTTTTCACAGAGACTTGTCCGAACATTGGCCCCCGAAAATACCCCAAACTAACACTGACCTTAACCTTATACATTGAATACAAAATTTAACCCAGCGTTTGTTATCGCTAAGCTGACATATGGCCTCAATAATTACATGGCTTCCAGGCCGCTGATAATCCGATAACTTTATTTTGTCTGTCGCAAATTAGAGACTGAGTACAAAGTTTTTATACTCGAGTAAGTAGTATTTAACTACTTTTATATAGTATTACTAGATCTATTTCCTGCCTTAATGCGAAATTAAACTGTCTTAAATTCATGAAATTATTTTTATTTATCAAAGTGCCATTTTTGAATTAGCCGAATGCTGATTGTCATCATATGTCTGCTGTCATGAAATGTCAGGTAATCGAACCTCTGAATTAGGTCGCGTAACACTAACCACTAAGCTACAAGTATCATCGCTTGGCTAAATAATGCGCCTAGAAAGGAGCATTAAATACATATGTCTACGTGGTACTGTTTGTACCACGTAGACATATGTATTACTGTACATATTTAACTCTAATTAGGATAATATGCTAGACGTTTCCTTGTAATGCATTGCGTAATAATAATATAAGTCTCCGCCGACGAAAACACATTAGGAAGTGACGTAATACGCTGTCTAGCTTAAGTTAACTGCGATTTCTTTTTCCGTATATACTAATATTATAAAATGGAAGAGTTTGTTTAAATGCACTAATCTCAGAAAATACTGGTCCGATGTGAAAAATTATTTTTTATTGGATATTTGGACTTTTATAGGGGAAGGCTCTAGGCTATATAACATTACGCTGTAGTAGCCAAGTTTTTTTTTTAATTCCGCGAGGACGAAGTCGCGGGCGACAGGTAGTGTGCAATAAAATCGTGTAATCATTCATTCTCTTAGAAAAAAAATCAGAGACAACTATACTTAAAAAATACGAAAGCTAAGGAATTGGTATTTCAACATGAAATATTTGATCTGTGTAGTGTAGGACCTCTTATCAGCTCACCTTTGCCTCGCGGTAAGACAGACACAATAACGTTTAGAAATTGGGCCATCCACTTGACTTCACAGGTCAATTATAATTAAATAGGGCAGAATTAAAACAAGATAATGATTAACAAAAACTTTACTGCGTTCAAGCATTATAATAACAGCGTAATTATGACGTAGTACATTTAAAAATAAAATGTCGCTTAATGTATACGTATATAAAAACAAACCATCATATTCCACATATTGTTTAGAATTTTGAGCACAAATTTATTTTCATAGCTCTTAAATACACAGTTAATTCACAATAGAATTGTTTTTTGATTTGAACAAAGGCTGAGATACTTGTTATACTAAGATTTGTTAACAATTTTATTGAGGAATAAAAATTTTCATTTTCATGCCACAGTTTTGTTTTTAATAAAGATTCAACATTATTGGATGCGTTGTATGAAAACATTAGATATAATCTGTATTCTAAAACTGACAATAATCGATTATGGCGCCAAAAAATATTGATCTAACCAAAAATTCAATACAAACAATACAGAACTATATTATCTTAATAAAATAAATACCAATGTAAAGAGGATTTACCATTTTTACTGTGAATTTTCAATGTTGTTTCACTTGTGTATGAACATGTTGTTATACAGGTGACAATGGAGACTCGTCATAACAATTTGACACATCATTGAATTAGATTCAAAGAAGTCCTAAATGTATCTTATCTTTGGATGGATATAAAAAAGAAATCAAATGAGTAAAAACTTTGTTTTATTTAGTTTTTTCGATGGGAAACTTGTTAATGATAGTTAAAAATAAAACTATATACATTAAAAACTAAAAATTTGCAGAACATTTACATAGTATGGAGTGTCTTTGGTTGTGATGTGATGAAATAACATTGTGTTAATAGCTTGTGCTTTATTATAATTTAAAAATATAAAAAAAATGTGGACCATGTCATACCAGATGGCACTTAAATCTTAGATTTTGAAACATACCAAATCTTAGGCTTCATGTAACAATTTAAAGGCTTTTCTAGCGGTCATACTATGTCAGTGAAATACTTAAATTTAGAATTTTTAAATTATCCTTAATGATTTCGATGACACTTTGTGATACCAAAACACATTGTTGTTATTTATATTAACATGAATAATAATATATTAAACAATTTCTAATGTTCACAAATTAAAAAAAAATCAATATAATTCTTGGAATAGAACATTATATGACACAACTTAAATATGACATATATTTTAATGGATATTTCATGAAATGCATCATTGCATTATGCCAATTTCTTTGTATTCATTAGGTGCCATTAATTGCCATAAAATATTGTTATAAACAAGATAATGAAATTACAGCAATTTAAATTAACCCTGCAACCAATTAGTGAATTATTCAATAAAAACTTGTACAAAAGAAAAACCGATGCATACTTAAAATGCCATTGCAAACATGTGCTGAAAATATCTACATTATATAGTTAATTTATACTTACGTAATATATATCTATTCTAATTACACGAGTCAGTATTTACAAAAGAATATATAATTTTCTAGCAGCATGTGGACTGGACAGTTTCTGCCTCGAGCAAATTGAAATCCATACCATTAGGACGGTTGAACCCTGTTTTGATGCCATCCCAACCATCCTCCACTTTGTATTCTCCAGTCTGAATGCGGTTGTATACTTCCTGTGCCACTAATACAAAAGCCTCTTCAACGTTAACACCAGTCTTTGCAGATGTCTCTACATGATGGAGCCCTGGAAAAATTCCACAGTTCATAATTTTGAAGTACAGTCTTCAAACAAAGGAAATGATCTGATAGATAAAATATTAATCAAAAATTTGGTGTAACCAAATCATAATATGTCAATTTTAAATCCATTTTTATTGCTGTGAAGAACATAAAAATAAATAAAACAGAGAAAATCTTAAGTAATGTATAGGATAATTAAATGTTAACAAAGAGGTTTGCACTGTAAATGTAAGCATTAGTGAATAACAAACATAAGCAAATTTATGTTAAGTAGATTGACCTTGATTCATATAAATATGTTCCTTATCAAGTGACAACTTTACAACAACTAAATACTCTTTTAAAATTTACATGAAATTTAATGAACACTATTTACCATTTTCCTCAGCAAACATTCTGGCTTCCTCGCATGTGACTTCTCTTCTAGCACCATTTTTATTGTCTGTACCGACTAAATCAACTTTGCAACCCACCAAAGCAAAGACAGGTCTGTGCGGCTCAATGTGCCTCTTGGCTTCCATCATCCACAAGGGTATGTGCTCGAAACTTGATCTGTTACACACATCATACACCAACAAAGCTCCCACGGAGTTCCTGTAGTAAGACTTTGTGATGGATCTGAATCTCTCTTGTCCTGCTGTATCCCAAAGTTGTAATTTAATTCTAGTACCATCCTGAACCTCGATTATTCTGGCGAAAAAGTCTACGCCTACTGTCGGATCGGAGAGCTAAAATTAATGCGTATTATAATTGCCAATTAAAATAAAACTTAATCACAAAGACCAAAACATTAGTATGTGATACGCACCTCAGCGAATTTTCCATCCGTAAAGTATTTTAAAAGGGAACTTTTTCCCACCGTACTATCGCCGATTAGGATGAGCCTAAATTGATAATCAAATATTGGGTCAACCATTTTCTGGGCATATAACCGTAAAAGACAAAGATATCGTCAAAATTATGCGTACAAATGAAATTGAAATGAAATCAGTGTGACATTTCATTGCATCACAGAAAATAGAAAACAGAGCACAGATAAACCTCAGTTAAATGCGTCATAGACTCATGTGACGTTTCCTAATCATAGACAATATGTTTTGGTTATTATTTTAACGGTAATCCAGTGGTTCCCAAAATGGCCTAGCTACCTCCTGGCCCATGATGGGAAGATCTGGCAGCGGCGGAGGCGGCGGGAAGCAAATTGTCGCTTGGGGCCGTATGATATCGGGAAAAAAGTTGAGGGATTTGCAATTCGCATTTCGAAAACACATAACAGCAGCAAGAGCAGGATGTTTATTTCCACTAAAGCAGTATAATTTTGGAAGTGGTCTCCGAGAAAAAGTTTGGGAATCTCTGTTTTAATCGGATAATGTCATCACCATGGTTTATATTTTTCTATTATCTGTTTTAAAAATTTTGTCATGGAGTCGTGCAATGGGAAGCAAAAATTATTCTTTGATTAAATTACATTTATCTTGAATTGAATACATTGTTAAGAAAGTTTTTCTTTTTTAATTTTATAATTAGGTGTCATATACGATTCATTATATAGTACTTACAAGAGAAAATAAGAAGAAAAATCGGTATTTCCATGTAAATGGCTCGTACTCGTAAACTAACGTCTATAACCTGTTATCACAGGCAATGTTGCGGGCGTCTCACCAACTCAATGTTGTAATTTTTATCGTAAATCATACATAAGGTTATTTTGACCCGTAATATCATAAAAAGTTATGTATTTTTGAGGTTAAGTGCTAAGAAGTATACAAATTCAAGATACTTCTCGTAGAAATCCCGCCAATTTATGTCGGCTGCGAATTCTCAATGATGAATTTTAATCAAGGGCTTACAAAAATGAAAGAAATTGAAGATAACAAATCAAAATCAACTCCTGTTGGTAAGTATTTACTTTTTATATCGAAACGATTTTTTTGAATTCTTGTGAAAATAATCTTGATAGAAATGTTTGCTAATTTCAGCAATGGTAGCACCCGAATTAAAACAGAATACTGAAGCCGATACAGAAATAACAAAAAACTGCGCAGTTTTAGGATGTGAGGAATCAAAATCTTTAAACTCTGATTCATTCTTTAGGTAAGAAATTTAACTTCAATGTTTCTGGTTTAGTAAGAACTTACATAGAGATGTCTTTTTACTTATGTATTAGAAATTCTATAATAATTATATTTTGATTGTTATGGACCAACATAGTTTGCTTATGTTCCAGTCTGCTGCCTCGAAATATGAATAGTATGGTAATTACTAGATATTTCTAAGTTAAAAGTGCGAATGTAAACTATTGATTGTTGATTGCTTAAAAATTTCAGGAAAATCTTTTAATAGTGTTATATTTAAGTATATTACCAAATTGAGTTGAATATATAATTGATATTCTAGTTGGCGAGTTGTTTATGAGAATAATGTTCATCACAGAATGTATTTGATAGATTTCCAGAGGATGCAAACCTAAGACAAATCTGGACGGACCTAACAGGCAGAAACAATTGGACACCCACAGACTACTCATATATTTGTGTGCAGCATTTCTCTGTTGATTGTTTTGAATGTGACGCTGAAAATAGGGTTGTTCTAATAAACAAAGCTGTACCTTCATTGAAATTACCAAATCATGTCCTAGAGGTAAAAAGTTATATGACTTTTATAGAAAACTAAGTTAAATGTTCAAAGTTGGTGGAGTTTTGTATTTTATTTATACACTATATTTTTATAATAAAAAGCTTTTGTGTTCAGGTGGAGTATATTGATGAAGAAACATTAGACAATGATGATGATGACGATGAAGATGAAATGGATACAGAAGAGGAACATTACAACAAGTCAAATAAAAATCCAAAAGAAAATCATGTATCAAACTCAAATGACAAAAACTTATCTGAAGATGAAAACGTTGAGTTGCTGAAACTATTCACTGAAGTCCAAAGAATGCAACGACAAGCAATCGGACTAAGAGACAAATTAAAAACTAACATGAGAATATACAACAGACAGAATAGATTTCTTGGGCGATTGAAAAAAGTTATTGAATCAAAGAAGAATCTATTGAACCAGAAGAGAAAGAAAAAATCAAGAATTCTGCTTTCTTTGCAAGACAAAATCAAAGAGGACACAAATGGATTGGTCTTGGCCATGCCCACAAGACACACAGACGATTTAAAGAATTTTGCTCTTAGTATTTATAAGTATTCACCTCAAGCATACATTTATGTTAGAAACACATTACGGACACTGCTACCAAGTACGGATGTGCTCGAGTCTTGGGTGAACTCGGGTTTTGAACCGAAGAATGTAATATCAGGCACATCTATGTTAAAAGTGGTATCAGAGCAGACTGAATCAGAACTATCGTGTAAAGTGTCTTTACATTAAGATTATTTTAGATGTAGGTTCAATCTATTTCCTAAACAAAAAAATAAATAAAATATTTTTCAATGAAGTGGCTATTTTATTTTAAGTTAACCAGTATCGAAAATATTGAATAAACATGACTTCTTTTTAAGTTTTTTTGAAGACTTTCTGACTTATTGCTTATCAAGATTGGATTTAATAATAGAGTATATCCTATACAAGTCAGTATTTTCCTTTATTTATGAAATCGTTGCGTTATTTTCGTTGTATTTTTTCGGTGTTATATAATTTGCTTTAAAATTAAAATTAATATGAACTGGATATTAAACCTAAACCCAGTGCATAATAGTAATAGCGAGAGTCGTTATGACACTTTATTGCTAATATGCAGATGTTTTCTACGTTACTTTCAGTTTTTTTGGCGAATGTACATTTTTTTTAGCTGTACTTTTATTGTAAAACTATTACCTTGCACATTGTAAAGTTGTAATGAAAAACTGTTTTATAATAACGTATATTTAAGATCAGGTTTTATTAATTAATGTAAATTTAATTTTTATGCGTCAAAAAAAGTTTGACAAGTTTATTCGTCGTTTCTATTATTTGAAATATGTACACGCATCTTACAAAATTTTAGGAATATATTTACTTTTGTAATAAACTTGAACGGAAATTTATAGTAAAACGATATAATAACGCTATAATAAGCGTTATAGTAATTTTGAAAGTAGCGCCAGTGATAGAGAAATTGAGAAGCAAAAGTTTAACGTGCAATGAACATACAACGTGGTAAAGATGATGACCACTTAAATATAAAAAATAATGTGATTGAATGTAGACGGCTACAAAGAGAAAGGAAGACCTTACCGTGGGTTTCTGAGACCTAAATCTCTGTGTAACACATTTCGTCATCCCTGTCTTACATCTTTGACAAAACAGAGATAATATGTTTCAAACGGGTTCTTAGGTCTCAGAAATCCACGGTAAGAAGGTATGGTTTGTGTGAAAGAGGATATGCGTAAGGAGCGGGTAAATTCATATATAACAGCTGATAGAGATGCACGGAAGAAAAGTATTTAGTGTGCCGACCCTTTGTAGGAGAAAGGGCAGGTTCATGATGATAGAAATTAGAAAAAAACTTAATGTAATACGAGGGACTCAAGTTGCGTTTTTCAAGAGCACTTAACAGAAAACTTCATGAAAGCCCTCTAAGGGGACTATTCAACCGTCCAGCGTAGGTTTTTATTCGTCTTAACTTTATATTAGAAATTCAAATTGCGTAGCACTTTAACATTATATACATTTGATTTGTCTACAATAATCATCGTTTAAAACAAATGACATTCTGTTTATCGAAACTTCTTAACCCTTTAAGCGCCGTCACGTAAATTAAGTATTAAATTTGCAAGACTGTAAGGTACATCTTAGATCTTGGTTTACTTTTGTGTTATGAGAAATTTTATGACCTTACAGTATGTTTCCACTGTTGAAGAAAGTGATCAAGAATCATTGTCCTTGTATTCTTTGGATACAACGTCATCTTAATCAAAATTTTACGGTACGTAAGTCTTCGTTGTTTTTACGTTAACAAGTGTGGGACACGCTTCTTCGCTAGATGGCGTTAATTTTAAAATAATTTATTTGTTAGAAAGGGAAGGCGAGTCGCATAGACGAACCAAACAAAATACGTAATGGTTCCGGTTCAGTTTAGTGCCGTGATTCCCTCCTGACGGGCGGCGGTGCGCGTACAGTCACGCGAAACTTCCAGTGTCGTGTCAACGAAAATATGTACACATCTGTTTAAATATTGTGCTGGTTTATTTATTAACAGCCGAAATTTACGTGTAAAATGTGCGCGTTTTTGTTACATGATGTTCTAACATAACACAGCTTTAGTTGATCACATATTGTGCTTGTAAAGTGTTCCGGTGTTGTTTTTTTTTGTTCTGTGAAAGGATTATTCTTAACGTAATTATGAAGACGAACGTCGCATAAAAGGTAAGAGGTGACTTTGATTTATTTATGTTTTTTTAATAATAATAGCAAAGGAATGGAGGTTAAGGTAGAGTCAGTGAGCCGCCAGTAACAGGACTTTCGCAATCTTTATTCCTTGTGCGTAACTTGCGTTCCATAAAAGTGAACCATTGGTTATGGTCGCGACATTCTATTCGTTTGGACTGTGCGATGTTAATTTTTAACGTCAATCAACACCCTAAAAGCCATTCGACACACACTAAATTGACGATAACCGCCGCTTATCATTCAGAACACGATCTATTATTAATTTCTCCTCGTTTAAGGGACAGAAACAATTTCTACTGCCTTGTAATTGAAAGTTTGTTTCCTATTCCGTATTTTTGAGTTCGAAGAGATTTGTTTCGAGGAAAAACGTACCAGTCGTACCAACATGGATATAAAAGCTTGCTGAAGAGAGAAACGCTTAAAGCCTTTAAGGTTTAAGATAATTAAGTCGAGGACAACGTACATCTAAATAATGTTTTGTGTTAAGCCTACGCACCCAATATTATCTCAGAGACGTTGTTTAAACGCCTTCATAATTACGACAAGTGGTCCTCAAATTACGAATTCGATCTTATTTAAGGGTCGCCCAATTAAAGGGAAACGCCGCAGTTAGGCGCTAATTCTTTGAATTTTATATAGAGTTTGAATCAATTACATTGACTGTTAATCACTACTTGTGGGAGTATCGACATGATTCCAATTTCTTATTAGATTTTGTCATAAGCGAAAGTTTGGCAGATCTATTGAAATCTGTGGATACGTCTTCGCACCAGTAGAATGTGCGTATAAATGGATCATCAAAAGTAAAGATATAAACACAGATGTACCTAAAAGTCTGTAGTAGATAGACGATTATCCCTAAAACTAGAAGACGTAACAATAATACAAGAGTTGCTATATTAAGGTGATCGTAAACTCTATTGTTTTACCATCAAAATGAAAAGAAGCAAAAATAGATCATTAATTTCATGTAAATGACAAGAGTGTCGTGGGTCGTAGGCGGCTGCGGCTCTCCGAGAGATATCTAATTAGCAGGCAGAGGTCGCGCGGCGCAGAATGAATGTCAAGTGCTTACGTCACAAGCTGGCTCTGCTGTGGCCAGTAGGCAATAGACCTTTTGAAGTTGGAAAGAGCTTTATAATGTAACAAGATGTATGTACCCTTTATCGTACCGAAGGGAGGCAGAAGGTCCTTTTTACGGATACATGTGTACTGCATAAGATTGGAGTATAAGAATGTCCCATAACGTTTAGACGCATAATAAGAATTTTCGTTACAGTTGTTCTTTACGTAATAAAACATGTTAGTAATGAATAGTTGTACTAATTTTAGCCATTAGGATCGACGTTATAGATTATAGTCTAGGGCTCTTTTAATTGGTTTACGATGGCGGCCGTTGCCGTCGGCAGGAATTTAATATTTGAGTGAGGTACGCCATCTAATTGGCGGATTCACCTCGAAAGCGCGATTAAACGCGTTGTAGCATTTTAATAGCTGCCCGTTACATGATGCGGATTATTACATTATTCATTTTTAATTTGCTCCGCGGACAATTTAGCTTTGCGTTTACACAAGCGGAGTTAGGAGTTAAACGTTTTTTAATTACACAAAATACATTTGTCATGAATAAAGGGTAAAAAATGTATGATATATGGACATTAAATCACCAAAAAAAACTTATTAAATAAACATGACTTCACGGCAGTGGATATTCATTAAGAGACGCAAAATCAAAACGCAAACGAAACTACAAATGTAATCTTTGCACACGTCGAGCATAATTTCTCAAGAATGTACTCGACCGGCGGCCGCAATAAATCATTCTCCCTGGCTCCCCGGCTCCCCAGCTCGGCAAATAGAATTAATAGTGGCCTACGTGGGGCCAGTAAAAGGCTTCTTACAAGTAGATTTCTCTTTACTTTGCTACCATCGACATGAAGCGTATCAATTTGGCGCGAAACGACTTGCGATCGCTCTCGCAACAGATTCTGTGTCAATAAAATCAAGTAAGAGTTGATGATATATGTTTCATAAATATGTTTGGCAATGAGAAAGGCAATATTTATTAGTTTTTATTAACAGTAATTAGTTACTTATTAAGGAAATGTGTAACATGAGGACATACAATCATCTTACATGTTTGTCAGTCTACATTTTTTAAATGTATAGCGATTAGCGACAATAACCGTGATGCAGAAGTAACTCAGTTTGTCAGCCATTAACCTCGCGTTAGCTTTACAACTAGTAGTACGGTTCGCGGCCACTCACGCGTCATAAAATGGCGTTACTGTTGAGTGGCATAGTGGCATGCACCGTAACATAGATAATATGTGCTGTGAGAATATAACACACTTACCCTTTTTTAAGTGTCACGTTTAGACTAACGTGCATTTTAATGGTGTGGTATGTCATATTAAACCACTACAGACATTTTGTTTTTCCATTTTTTATTTTATGTGCGTCTCTGGTGCCTGCATTCATTTGTTTAACAAAAGTACCACATCAAATGGGATTTTAAATGAGTAGCAGGGTGGACCTCAGCAGTCTAATTTTTGGGTTTTAAAATTCCTTACAAAATTGTACAGTATTAGTATATGTAATACCTTTAGCGATAATAATCACTTCACACAATCATGATAAACCTTACAATGCATTCACACTTCCAACACATCCTATAATATTAATGCGTAGGACGTGGCGACGACATAAGTAGCTATGTAAAGTAAACCTTCAAGGTTTTTATGTCTCATGGCCGTTTAAAGATCGAACATTAAAAAAATATTTCAAATTAAAAGAATAAAAAGGTACAATTCTTAGGAGAATATGTTTGTTAATAGATATTTTTTGGAAAATTCATCAGTTTTATGCTGTTTAATCTAACCATCTGTTTGTTTTTTGAAATTATAAAACATTATACAGCGATAATTAGAGCACGTCAATTTCATTGAATGCTCAAACACAATACATTTTACCTGAATACAAGCGCACGCTGAGCTTTACAAATTTCAAAAACTCTACGTGTTAACGCCCACTTTATTGGGTTTTAAATAATATAATAGTTCAAAAACCTACCTCCTACCCTACAGCTCCTATTAATATTGAAATTCAATTCAAACATCTAGCATGCTGTTATCCCTATTTGACTTTTTGTACCTGCTTTTGATCTAAAAATAAAGGCCAGAAAAAACAACATTTTCAGTAAGGATTGTATTAAACTGACTTGTGACATTCTTAACTGTTATAATTGTGTATTTGTTACTACCTAGATATGCATTTACAAATTTTCTATGTCTAAGTGTTTTCCTGTTTATAACATCATCTCGTTCCATTTCCATTTTTAACTGGATTTTTTTTAATGGTATTAAGTGAACTATAATTTGCGTTTGAATAATTATTATCTAATATTGTTTCCTGCGTTTTTATATACAAAAACGGTACAGTTTCGTACAGTAACGTTTGTATAAAAGCCTTTGTGATACTCGCAGAGGTAACAATGGAATAACATGGTACAACGCGCCACCTAACTCGTCATGGGTCAGTTTGTTTCAATACAACTTTTGTGTAAATTTAAAACACATTCTTCTGAACCTAAGGATCATGTGGGAATAAGATTTTGATAAATATATTTCTTCTTGTAAATACTTAACGTATATAAAACATTTGGCATTTAATTTTAGGATTCGTAATTATAGTCTACACATCTTTATTTTTGTTGGTTCTATTAGGATAACCTTTATAAACTACATAATATTATTATAGTGTACAATAGTGGGAAAGTTAGCTCGCCCGCGGAGGAATTTGAAGTAATTTACAAATGAAATCGTGAGTTCTGCAACACTGACTTCACTTCCGACCGCCCGCCCCGCTTTGATGTAATTGTTACGTAGTTCTCTCGTATCGCGAAATGTTGCCGTAACTTTTATAATACTATAGCATTAAGATAATAAGTTACCGTAACAAATGTAACTACTAACTAACCACAGTTTGAAATCAAGCCGAATAATGTGTATTCATATGAACTTGTGCTTTCTCCGGCGTAAGCTTTACTTCTACTAAACCTCATAGGATACTGAGCGTACCAAACATTCCTTACGTTTTACCGTTTTGTTGAAATACATAGTTTCATATATCATTGCATCATAAAAAGTGATTATAAAAAATCAATGTAATTCACTTTAAGGCGTTAATTTCTAAACGGTGGCAAAATGTCGGTGCCGCGCCGACTGACCCAGTTCCTCGTGCACGCAGTGTACGGTGCATTCGCGAGTACGCTGCATACCTTGCCTTATTTATTGTCGGTCAAGCGAGTACCTATGATGCACAGTTTTATAGAAAACCTAGTGTTCGCAGTTTCTCCTTAGGAAAAAGAAGCTCATCACACTAATTTATAGGAAGAAATTTCATGTATTTTTTATGTTTTTAAGTTAAAAAGGATGAATAGTAGAGAAATGTTTCCTTACTTTCATTACTTTCAAACAAAATATGCAAACTCTGAAAGTTCTGGAAAATTTCTAACATTTTTATTTCGCAAACTACTCACAAAATAAAGTACCATTACAAAGAAACACGAAATAATATTGTAGCGAGTTTTGTTCCCGACAAGAATAACCCATATTTCAACTCGTACCTTTTCCCTTGTGTCTCGGATGTTGTGCGGTCGGATTTTCGCCCGCATCTTGCCCCACAATTAGTAAAATACTTGGATTAGCTACAGTTTACGCTATTTATTTTTTATTTTCAAACTACAAAAAATATGGATTGAAAACCTCGTTGAATGGGTCTAAAAGGGTAAGGGAAAAGAATATATTTAGGATTTTGAGTATTCCTTGCGTTTACATCATATCTTTTCCTTTTATTTCTATTAAATAAAACAAGTGTTCTAGACCCTGTTTTTGGAAGCGTTACTTTGACATGTGACCCGCCGACGCGTTTGCTTCCTGTTCACATAAAAAATCAACTCGCGTAAAAAGTATCAC